TATCTCGTATTTTATCTTACTTATATCTCGTACTTTATCTTACTTATATCTCGTACTTTATCTTGTTTATATCTCGTATTTTATCTTACTTATATCTCGTACTTTATCTTACTTATATCTCGTACTTTATCTTGTTTATATCTCGTATTTTATCTTACTTATATCTCGTACTTTATCTTACTTATATCTCGTACTTTATCTTGTTTATATCTCGTATTTTATCTTACTTATATCTCGTACTTTATCTTACTTATATCTCGTACTTTATCTTGTTTATATCTCGTATTTTATCTTACTTATATCTCGTACTTTTTGTAGTTGGTATGTAATGCTAAAAAATATAATAATAATAATAATAATAATAACATTTCAATGCCGTCATCGTATATAATATATCCTATGAATCACCATTGCGTCATGCCCCCATGAAGTGAACAACTGATGACCGTTGTTCCGCGTGTTCTTCGCTCCACAGCGCCGTGTCAGAACGGCGGAACCTGCATCGACGGCGTCGCCGAGTATCGCTGCATCTGCGTCGAGGGTTTCGGCGGCGCCCACTGCCAGATCGACATCAACGAATGCGAGTCGGACCCCTGCCTCAACGGCGCCACCTGCCAGGAGTACGTCAACTCGTACGTGTGCACGTGCCCGGCCGGCTTCAGCGGAGTCAACTGCCAGACGAATGACGACGACTGCACGGAGAGGTAGGGGCGCTGTTGTTGCGGTGGGGATGCTACAGTGGAATTGCGAGCGGTCGACGATGGGTGGGCGGGTGATTGGACTCGTGACTGTGATGCCGAGAATTAATTACCAATTATTATTGTTTTAATTATTATTAAATTAGAATGATTTTTCGATGGGTCGTACGCGAGTTACAGTATATACCTAGTCTAACTAGTGTAACTAAGCGTAACCTAACTAACTAATTAAGAGTATAGTGTGATTAGCGTATTCTAACTGGTGTGGTATCGTCACTCGATCGTAGGTCGTGTCTGAACGGGGGAACATGCTTGGACGACATCAACACGTATGCGTGTAACTGCATGCCCGGTTTCACGGGCGCGTACTGCCAGGACCACATCAATGTCTGCGACTCGAACCCGTGCTTCAACGGCGCCACCTGCATGGATCACATCGGCGACTTCACGTGCCATTGTCCGTACGGCTACACGGGTTCGCTATGCGAGGTGAGTCGCTCGCCGCGTGTTTAATTGCTCGAATACATATTAATTTAATATACAATATACAAATATATATAGTATACAATATTACGTAATAATACATTTTTCCCGATGTGGCACCTTTCCAGGGTTGTACTCACCTTGAGGGAGGGGGGCAATTAAGGAGGGAAATTTCCTTCTCTAGATTTTGGGAGGAATAAAATGAAAGTCTGATAAGCCACACCCCTGGAATAAGTGTTCCTCAAAATAGAGGTCATCACTAATTTAATTCACCGATTACCGCACATTAATACAACAATTGATACCATTTCACTAATTCCGCGAGTTCTCATTTAACATTATTGGTCTTAATCGATTGTTGGCACTGTAGTCTTGACCTTTACGCGACCTTTACAGAACACGGTGGACTGGTGCAACACGCGCAGCCCCGCGTGCTACCATGGCGCCACCTGTGTACAGGAAAAGAACACGTATCGGTGCGAGTGCGCGCCGGGATGGACGGGCATGATCTGTGACGTCAGCATGGTCTCCTGCTATAAAGCTGCACAGCAGAAAGGTGAGAGAGAGAGGAAGAGGAGAGAGACGGACACAGTCCACACACTACACTACACAGACTATATCAGCAACCCTATCTTGCCTTTCTCCTGACACTAGTCTTAGCTTTCTCCTGACACTAGTCTTAGGCTTTCTCCTGACACTAGTCCTAGCTTTCTCCTGACACTACTCCTAACTTTCTCCTGACGCGAGCATGTGTATGTTTCATCGTTGTAGGAGTGGAGGTGTCTGAGCTGTGTCAGCACGGCGGCACGTGTCTGGACGGGCAGGGCACGCACCACTGCCAGTGCGCGAGCGGCTACACCAGCAGCTACTGCCAGACCGAGATCGACGAATGCGCTAGCGCCCCCTGTCAGAACGGAGGCACCTGCAACGACGGCGTCGGCATGTACAGCTGCGACTGCCAGCCGGGATTCCAGGTGCGTTATAGGTGGCGCCAGTGTATCGTGGAGGGCGAAATCGACCTATCGGGTTAAAGGGATCCACGGGTAGCTCTGTACAGCCAATCGGCACTGCGATAGGGGAGGTCTAACATTACGCGTAACTGCGTTTATACGGGTGATTTTTCATCACAAGAATACAATACGTAGGTTTTGGAAGAGGAAGGCGACGAGGAATATTACATCGATAATCCCTCCTGATCGTAGGAAATAATTAACACACCAGACAAACACTCCGTACAATGATACATTGCCGTGCCCCACCCACTCTGATATGTATAAGCTTGGATCTCGTACATGTTTTACTAGTGTTGCTCTATATATATATATATGTTTGTGTTGGTGTACAGGGTCTGGACTGCGAGGTTAACATCAACGAGTGCGCCAGCGCGCCCTGTAGGAACGGCGGAACATGCATCGACCGCATCAACGACTTCAAGTGCGCGTGTCCGAAGGGAACCACGGGTGAGTGTGACTAACGATCGATGGCAACTATTCGCATTGTCTATACCTAACTAGATGGGATAGTGATGTGATTAGACTGTGATTGGATAGGATTGTCGGAATTCGTCGCGGAGATGCTCTCCTTCGTTTGCAGCTGGTTTATGTTTGGTGATGTTTATTGTTTAACGTTCATATTCATTATTTGACATTGTTCATGTTCCTTATTTGACATTGTTCATGCTCATTATCTAACATCATTCATGATCATTAGCTGACGTTGTTCGTGCACATGTAGGTCTGCTGTGTGAGGTCAACCTGCCGGACTGCTTCGAGGGAGCGTGTCACAACGGCGGCTCGTGCATGGACCAGGTCGGCGGATTCACGTGCGCGTGTCCGCCTGGTTTCGTCGGCGCCCGGTGCGAGGGAGATGTCAACGAATGCCTCGAGGCAAAGTGAGTGTTATGACGACGAGTGGGAGATTGGTTGTGTACTGACTGGCATGGTGTGTGTGTGTGTATGGTGTGACGTAATTTTCTGTGTGTGTGTGTGTGTGTGTGCGGTGTGTGCCGTGCTGTTGCGTTGCGTGCGTGCGTGCGTGCTGTGCGTGCGTGCGTGCTGTGCGTGCGTGTGTGTGGGTGGGCGTGGCCGTGCGTGCGTGTGTGTGGCGAGACGTGCTGAGGGCATCTCTGCGCACGCGCCTGCGTTGAGGACGGCTAAACGTGGTTGCGTCGTGGCACGAGTTTTAAACGGTTGCGCAGACGGAACCTGAAGACGCCACCATGTTTTTCCTTTCTTATAGTTTCTCCACGTCCGCTTGCGACCTCATTCCTCATTCTAACTTCTGCACTCGCTCGTTGAACTTCAACTCTCCGCGTTGCATTTCTAACTTCAACTCTCCACGTTGCATTTCTAACTTCTGCGCACACTTGTTGCATTTCTAACTTCTGCGCACACTTGTTGCATTTCTAACTTCTGCGCACACTTGTTGCATTTCTAACTTCTGTGCGCGCTTGTTACATTTCTAACTTCTGCGCACACTTGTTACATTTCTAACTTCAACTCTCCGTGTTGCAGATGTCACGTGGAGGGCACGGGGCGGCATGGCTGCGGACTGCGTGCAGCTGGTCAACAGCTATAGCTGCCAGTGTAACTACGGCTGGGAGGGAGAGTTGTGCCAGCGCCGCGTCGACTGGTGCACGCCACGCAACAACCCGTGCCGCAGCGGCGGACGCTGCGTCAACACGCCCGACGGCGGTTACACGTGCCACTGCCCCGAGGGTTTCCACGGTGAGCGAGCTTCACACGCTACCTCCTCCTCTTGTTCCTCCTCTTCCTCTTCCTTCTCTTCCTTCTCATCCTCCTTCTTCCACTCCTCATCTTCCTGCTCTTCCTCCTCCTCCTCCTCCTCCTCCTCCACCTCCTTGACCTTCTCTTCCTCCTCCTTCTCCTCCTCCTCCTCCTCCTCCTCCTCCTCCTCCTCCTCCTCCTCTTCTTCTTCCTCCTTCCCCTCTTCCTGCTCCTCTTCCTCCTCCTCCTTCTCCTTCTCCTCCTTTCCTCCACCTGTACCTCTTCCTCCCCCTCCCCCTCTACCTCCTCTTATTCTCCTCTTTCTTTCCTTCTCTTCCTTCTCATTCTCCTTCTTCCACTCCTCATCTTCCTGCTCCTCTTCCTCCTCCTCCTCCTCCTCCTCCTCTACCTCCTCCTCCTCCCCCTCCCCCCACTCCTCCTCTGTCCCTCTCTCTCCTCCTTCTCCTCCTCCTCCTCCTCCTCCTCCTCCTCCCCTCCTCTTCCACTCTATCCTCGTGATTGTCACGGGAAAACAGTTACGTGAGATTTTGCGGCGGCATTACTGATTCTTCTCTTCTCTAGCGTGACTTTAGTTTTTTGCATCGTATCGTCGGAAAGAAGCTGAGAGTAACTATAGTAACATGTACTAACGAGTTCAAAATAATCTATAATAAAATATAAAATTAAAAAAAATTAAAAAAATAAATAAAAATAAAAAACATTAAAATATAATGCGGCATCTCCACTCTGTAGGGCGCG